AAAAAAAAAAAAAAAAAAAATGATGATTTTTAACTAATATCATATAATGCTGTAAAAATGAATGAATGAATATAATACATTTACATTCTTGTCACTTGGTTATCAATTAACTTTTTGAATGTAATTATTTTCTTATTGAATTATTGAAATAATAATAAAGAAATTGAGAGATTTTAATTTTATTTTATTTTGTAATGATATACCATGGGATTTTCTACTACAAACAAATTCTCGTGAAAAATAGCGCAACAACTTTTAAGGTGTTCTGAATTTTGTGATGCATTTAATTCTAAGAGTTCTAATAATTTGGTACTCGTTTCATCTGGTTTTATTTTGGCGTCAATGATTAGGTTCTTCAACATCATTAATTGTGTATTAATATTTTCTGTAAAATCATTATAAATTATTATTCATAAATTAATTATACATCTGATTAATTCATTAAAAAATTAATACTATTTAAAGTATACTAGTTGCAACTTTAAAACACAAATAGTTGTATAAAATTATGTAATAATCCAAATTATATAAGAATATTTAATAAAAAATAATAAATCAAAAACCCAAATAAAGTTGTGGATGATTATTTTCATTGATATCATAGAATTGATGTATTGTTGAAAATTATAGATATGGATTGTCAACTTAGGGAATAAAGTGTTGTTTGTCCTTAATAAGGTGTTAGGTTCGGAGATCCAATGCAACAAAGTATTATTACTTATGAATTTTCATTTAAATAATTTTATGATTCTATATTTTACTTTTCGGTGTGAGTTTATATAGAATAGTGCAGATTAACGTCAACGCATTGCTCCGAGGAATATTATCTTGAGTAGTTAGGACAGTTTCTTCCATACGTTACTCAAAGATGTTTGTATAATGTGTGTAAACAGTATGTTCTTACAGTTTTTTTAAGTTTACGTTTGCATTAATAATATTAACTTGACATGTAATATTACTACTTTGAAACGATCGATACTCTTAATATTATTTATAATTAATATAGAGTCAATTAAAATTGATTAACCTTTCTGTCGTTTTAATTTAAATAATAAAGATAAGTCAGGAGAAATAACAATTTATAATAATAATAATCGTTCGTAGAAATAAGCAAATGTTACGAAGCATAAGCAGTCGAGTTTATTTCTTATTAAAATTATTTAAAATTTATTTTAAAGTAATATAAATGGATATTACAAAAAATATTGTTTGTAATATCCACATTTAATGTAATGCTAAATAAATAGACTAATTTTAAGTTTTATAAATATTTTTAAACAGCTAACTTCATAGATACATTGAATATTAAATACTATAATAAAACCATTTCAAAAATCAATACTTAAAAATTTAATAAATATAATTTAAGAATTCATTTTTTAGTCGTGGTTATAACTAATAACACGGCAGGTTCTAGAAAATTTACCGAAAAACCCAACCATACGGTTAAATTTATAACATGACAAATTTTTATATTGGTTGATAACGTAATGTGCGGCTGAGGGAAACACGGTTTTGTATCACTGAACAATAAATAATTTAATTCTGGTGTCTTATTTTCATGGGAACTTCATTTTTTTACTATATTATAGAATAATTCACACACTACAAATATTTCAATAAGTTATAATTTTGCTAAGATTTTTAGTACTGTTACGAAACAAAATTGAAATTAATTTAAGGATTAATTGTAATATTTTTTTACAATTAATGCTATTATATTTTAGTTTGCTTAACATATTTAATAATCAAAGTATTTCAAATAATTTTAAATATGAAGATCATCCTACAAGGTTTTGACATCTTTAATAACTTCTGATCCTTAAATGTTTTGCATTATTTTTTTTATTTAATAATTTTTACGGAGTTGGACTTTGATAAAAACGCAATATTTATCATTTGTCTCTAATAAAATGATAATATATTTTTTTTAATATTTTGAAATAAAGTTTCACAAAAGAGAGTCCGAACACAAAATTATCACTAATCAAAGTCTTTCAAATAATTATTTTTTTTATTATTATTTGTATACACAATCTGCACAAAAAGGGAACAATAAGAGTATTGGCTAAATTAAAATAACACATGAAAAAAAAACTTGACAAAAGAAGCCACCCATTGATGACACTTTCAATATATATTTACATATATAATTAGTATTCATATATTTATATATCTTTCATACACACAAATATATGTAAATAGATTTTTTATCTTTATTTAAAAAAGTAGATCTCTACACCATTTGCGTTTTAAACGTCTCGAAGGATTACCAGGAATAATTTTTGACGAAAGACCTTTAACCAAGGGATTTGAGTGAGAGGCTAGTCGTAAGTGGAATCTTTTCTAATAAGTGAGTGCTACTTCTTTCAGTTTTAATTTTCAGATCAGTATGGAGGAGAGTTAGTTTTCTAAAGATAATATTTTGAATAGTTTGTATGCGATTTAAATTTGTGTTTTTGGCATTACCCCATAATTGGATGCCATAGATCTCAACAGGTTTAATTAAGGATTTTTACATTAATAATTTAGTTTCAAATTTGTACATTTATTATTAATTATAAAAGTTTTAAGCATACGAAATCTGAGGTTTAATTGTAGGCTTTTTTCACGAATGTAATGGGTTCTTGTAGGTTGGCGGTCAAGTGTTATACCAAGATATTTTACTGATGGAGATGAGGGAATTTGAGTGCCATAAAAAATAATACTTGGACATTGTTCAGGCCTGAGAGTAAAGGTTATGTGAGTTGATTTAGCCTGATTGACCTTAAACCTCCAATTCTTATACCAATCTTCCATTAATAAAAGGTGGTTTTGTAAATTATACAAAGCAATAATAGGTTCTTTATTTGTTGATATGATTACTTCATCATCTTAACAATCGTCCACAGAGGCGTTAAGCATATTTGGTTGGCCTGAAGCAAAAATGTTGTACAGTGTAGGTGAAAGGATACCTCCTTATGGTACGCCGGCACTAATATTTTCTATATCGGAATAAGCGGATTTGTAATGAATTTGAAAATCTCGATCGGATAAATATGATTTAAGTAGTGAGTAATAAGTAGGAGACAACAATTTTTTTAATTTGTATAACAATCCTTCATGCCATATACAATATCCAGAATAACTAACTCTCCTAATAACTAAGTATTTGTGTCTTGCACTTCGTCTGCACCTCATACCTAGGTGTTACTCTCATTACTTTCCTATAATAACAGCCATCTAGACTCCCACAGCTAACCTGGAGAACGGTGACTGCTGTAAGACAACACGCACGTGAATACCTAGACAGTAAGCATCCTCATCTTCATCTTCTCTATACTTTTTACTTGCTGTATTGTGTTACGACAGAGTGGTGTCCAACAAACGTAACGTTTATATATTACGTTAGGGTTGATGTTATAGTATAAAAAAAATTATTATTAAATCAACTTATCCAACACTTGATGGCCAAAGAAGAAAACATAAAATCACTCATCAAGCTTAACCCAACACCGCCAGAAGAAAACGAACGTTTATCTTAGAAGACAGATTGGACACATAAGCTGAATACAAAAGAAGCCATATCTGAACTAATTGAAGAATTATCATATCTGAAGAAATTGCCAGCATATTAAATTACTATTCAATGGACACGTACATTTATTCTGAAAAACACAAATACGGAGTAATGTACGAAACGGGTGATCGAAAATTTGCGGTGTTATATCATGTAAATAATGTAACACATTGGCGGCCCGGCAAGCCGACTACAAAAACATCGCAGTACATACCGCAGCATATAGTAGAGATAAACGAATTCCTACCATTAAAAAAAATTAGTCAGTCAGTACAGCTCCACGTGGAGCATAGTAAACAGTGTATAAAAAACGATAATGCATCTATTAATGAAATCGGAGTAGCTAGTACCACGAGCCACGGCCAACCTAATACAGAAACGATGATACAGGACAATGCAACACCGTTGTAAATTGTTTAGACAGCTATGCATAATGAAAATATTAAAGAGCAATTAACTGACAATGACAAGATGCCTATTAAGATATCATCGCATTTATCTCAAGAATAACACGCTAAAGTAGTTAACTTAGTGAAAAAATACTTACACGTATTTTCTATGGTTACATCTAGATTAGAGCCAGCTAAAGTACCGCCATGTGAGATAAAACTAACGGAAAACGTAAAAGAGCCAAAATGTAATGCTCCACATAGAGTATCCTCTGCTCAAAGAAATATATTGAAAAAAGAATTAGATAAATTACTTGACGCAGGAATAATTAAACACGCATATCTAAATATGCAGCAAACGCTTTTCTCGTTAAAAAGAAAGAAAAAAATCAACATCGTCTAGTAATAGACTACAAAAACTTATATGATAGAATTGAACCTGACAACTATCCACTTCCACGATCTCAAGATTTATACAGAGCATTAAAGAACTGACCATTTTTCTCAAGCCTTGATCTTAGTAATAGTTTTTTTATAATTCCCATAAAAAAAGTGTGTGATCCTTCATTCCCTTCCTATAACAACAGCCTTTTGACACCCACAGCTAACACGGAGTGTCGTCAGGCGAGCACGGTGACTGCTGTATGATAACACGCACGTGAATACTTAGACAGTAGGCTCATCCTCGTCATCTTCATCGTACGCTTTACTTTCAGTTTTGTGTTGCGACAAGATCATGAAATTTATATCGGTCAGTAGAGTTGTGAAAAAGCTTTGATGATTCAGTGATGGTTGGGGGATAAGGAGTTGAGCGTGGTCCGGAAGTAGCTTGAGCGTATAAAACAAAGGTGTTGGGGGGGGGCTCAATTACTGGGTGGCTAATATGTCCATCATGTTAAATGTAATTTTTTAAAAAAATGTCATAAATATTTACATCATCTATTATTATAAATCTATTGTTATCTGACAAAAAAAATTATTTGAAGAAGATTTCTTACAACATTGGATTTCTTTGTAGACTGAGCAACCTTTGTAGTTGACTAGATGTTTTCCTTGGCAAAGTGTGCATTTGGGCGAGATATCACAAGAATTTGTGCAGACAGATGCTTGGTGGAAACCACCGCAGCGAACACAGCGAGACGAATAGTTACAATAAGATTTAGTGTAGCCATATTCCTGGTAGTTTAGACATTGACTTATTAACTTAGGTTTGTAGGGCTCCTCTACTTTTATATCGGTGTGAAGCATGCAGGTCAGTTTATATATGTCATTTGATTGAGGGATTGGTTCCAAATTAATGAAAAATAATGGCAAAGGATGTTTGTGGACTTTATGAAGAACATTAGTTACGTTACATACTTCGAATTCACAGAGTTCTAGTTCTGATTTAATTAAGCTAGTTTGAGTTATTGGGTGTAAATTCCTAATCACTACGCGGTTGGGTTTATCTTGATGCAATAGGTACGTATGATATTCAGATTTATTCTCCTTGAGGAAATTAATTAATGTCCTATAAGCGTCAGGAGTACTAATTTGATTTTTTAGTCGATCAGTAGATGACTTACAAATAAAGTTTATAACACCAATTATCTCAGACTAGTTCATACTTCAGGAAATCTTCCACACCTTTAATAAAAATTGGAGGTTTGGTATTAGGTTTTGTACTATTTTGTTCTGTAATATTTGAAAATGAGTCAGTGTTTTGTATATCATCATGATTATCATTTGTTCAAATCTATTTGAAGATGAGAATAATTTTTCTTTTAATTGGTTGAGTTTGAGTTTTAGATGAGTTTGGCTCAGAGATAGAAGAGCTAGAAAGATTTCTTTTGTTAAGCTGTATAGTCGAGCCATTAACTGATTTATAGTTTGCATTCGATTGAGATGGAGAATTTTGTATATTTTTTTTGATAATTTTGATTGGTGCAACTGGTTTACCAGTGTTATTGTAATTAATTTTTACCTAAGCTACAATAATGAAAGTGAATGGTGGTGTACTATTGTAAAACTTATCAAAGACACGAAGGACACTTGATGACACGAAGTGTTAGCTTAGATCGCTTATAACGAGTAGTCACGAAAAAAAATTTATATTACACGAATTGCAGCACTAAGAATAAAATTGCTAATAACCACTAACGCATGTTTACTACATTACTGAGCACCATAATACAGGTAATTAATTAAATTAATGGTTAACTGAGAGAAAAAACAAAACAAAATAATTTGTACGGAATTGGACTTCAATAAAAAAGCAATATTTATAATATTGCGTTTTAACATTGTAACAAAATTTAGAATCATTACAATACATAGTGTTGATGTGTGTACTGGTACTCCACACCAGCTACATATTTGATCTATTAAAATATTTCTAAATGATAATGATAAACTAAAAAACCCAGCACAGGGGTGTCGCGGTATAGTGGTAACATAGCATAGTTGGGCCAAGTATCTGAAAGTGATTAAAATCACTATCATAAAAAACGCTTTGATGCAAATCTTTAGATAGTGTTTAATTTTAAAAAATTGTTAGATTATTACAAAAGCTACATGATCAGCTAGTTCCTTATTTATATCCTGATTAAGATAAAGTATGTCGAATGAAAAAGGGATATAAATGTTATTTCTCATAAAAAATGTTGTTGATCCAAACATTTTTCAATAAGTTTTGGAATTATAAAGTTAAAAATTAAAAATATAAAATCCAGAATTTTCACACAAAATTAGCATAGGGTGGCCATTTTCACCGTGAAGACAAAATAAAGTCTGAATTGTTTTTTTTTTTTCATTATAAAGTATATTAAATAAGCTTTAATTTAAGGTATATATAAAAGTGTCAGTATTTCCGGAACACTTTCAAAATTAAAGTTGAAAAAGTTCATTTTTTGTGAAAAAATTGACATTTTAAAACTCCCCCTGTGGTCAGGTAAATGGTTAAATGTATAAAAAAAATACATCAATTGATAGGAAAACACATTCTATAAAATAAAAATTATTCTAATATAGTCATTATTGAAAAAGTTACAGCAGTTTTAAGAAAAAAAATGAAAAAAATTCGAAAATTAGCGATTTTTAAAATTGTAATTTTTTTGGAAGTGTCCTACATTTACGGGCAACGAGGGAAATTTTTTCAATTTTTGAGGCTAATGTCTTCGATTAAGTACGATTTGTGATCTTTGGACGTATCGTTGAAAGAAAACGGTTCGATGAGAGCTAAGAAAAAGTGGTAACAGACGCAAAAAAAAAACACATCTTAGTAAAACCAATACCTTCTCAGCTTCGTATCGAAGCTAAAAATTAATCAAAATTTTGTTTTTATTTTAGGGGCAAATAATAAAAACACATTCTTTTAATTCAGATTGAAATTGTTAAATAAAAAGTTAAAAATAAACAAAATATATTTTGAAACAAAAGTCTTTAAAGGTGTATAATTTGGTCTAGCACTGTGTAATGATTTTAAGGTTATTTAACTATCTTACTATTTTCTTCTTGAAGTGCAAGCAGAAAATAATTTAAATTTATCAACGCAATATTGTAATTCGTGTTGTGTCATTTTTAAATTTGCACTGTATTAACAAAAAATCAATGTAAATTTATTAAAATGCATTAAATAATTTTGATTGTGTAAAACCACAATATATGCAATTTTTATGCAATATTTTCATAACGAAAGAAGTGTCACTTCATCAGCGTGTACTCGTAACATGCACTGGTTTTTTTTTTAATTTTAAAATAGCCAATTTTAAATTAAAATATATATATATATTAGGGTGGTCTAAAAGTGACAAAAAAAACATTTTTTTTTTTAAGTTATACTCNATTATGGGTTGATAACTTCATTATGTTCTAATTGAATTACATACATTATAATACATTGTGTGGATGTGTAGTACTGGTACTCAACCCCAGCTATATATAAAATCTGTTGAAATATGTTTAATGAAAATGATAAACTAAAAAATTAATTACAATTTTGTTCTTGTTGTAGGGACAAATAACAAAAACACATTCTTTTAATTCAGATAATAATTATAAAATAAAAAAATGAAAAATAAACAAAATATATTTTGAATTAAAAGTCTTTAAAGGAGTAAAATCTAGTCGTATACTGTATAATAATTTTAAGGTTATTTAACTATCTTACTTTTTCCTTTTTGTAGTGTATTTATTTTAAATCTATAAACGCAATTATGGAATTTGTCTAGTGCCATTTCTAAATTTTTCGATGTTAATGCATCAATAACATTATCTGATATGGTATCATCTGCTGATGTTGAAAATATTAGTCCCTATAAAAAAAAACAATTCAGGTTGATTTGTGCATGTTAAAATCATATTGATTAATATTTGACAGTGGTCATCATCAATATCATAAAACTATTGAATTTACGTATATTTTTTATTTGAGTGATTAATTTTTTCTGGAGTTGAGCCACCAAAGTATAATGTTACTGCTTAATAAAAAATCTTGTATAAAATATTTTATTGAAGGCATTTTAAATTTGCAAATTTTTTGAAATCATTAAGATTTTTTATAAAAGTTTTTTTAATGATCAGTGTTAAAAAAGAACTATAGCAGTTTTAAAATGCAGAAAAAAAAATTGTGATAATTTATATCAATGTTTGATAAAAGATTTCAAAATACTTAGAATTTATAAATAGTTAAATTACTGTGAATTTAGCAGATTCGCAGCGAAGAGATTTTTATGATAATGATATTACTAATGGTTAGATAAAATCTATCCCAACTAGTCCCAACAATTTCCTCACTTTGCCACTGCCTTACTGTATTGTTTTTTTTTACTTACAATACACAGAATTATTTGAAATTGCAAATACATCATTTTTTCCTAGGTGATAGATCTAAAAAAAATTTTTTTGGATTTTATTAATTTATAATACTAATGTTTTAATGGAACTAGTAAATAATAAAAAATGTTATGATACCAAGACAATTTTTTTTATATGATAACATTTAAGGGCGTCTAGATATTTCCGGTCGAGGGAAGTTAAAACTTTCAATTGTTATTTTTGTTACATAACTCTGCAAGCACTTTTTTTACACGACCGGCATTATTGTAGGCCGTAACGTCAGCACGGCTGACTTACGAATACTGTAAAGATACTTGTTAAGGTGGACATTGCATGACATCACTTGTGGGAGACGGTAAGTCATCTCACTATCTACAACAGCTGTCTAAACGGCCGGGTCCGATGAGGGATATGGTCCACTCAGCGCTTGTTTTTTCCAAAAGGTAAGACCGCCATTTGAACATGGTCATTCGCCTGAGAGACAGTGTCAGACATGAGGAGGCTATAGCGTTCCTTGCGGAGCTCATGCACGAGAGGCCGTTCATAGGCGGGTGGTAGTGACGACGGAATGTCTGTCGCCACTTCGGATCGGTAAGTCGAATCATAGTCCGCTTATGCACCCTAAGCAGGGTTTTCCTGTTTTAAGCGAATACTCAAGAATATCCATCCAAACCGGAGATCTGTACAGGAGGACTGATTGCACAACGCTAGTTAATAATCTATTTCGCGACTTTTTCGATCACATTAGCTAAATAAAATTTGTGGAAAAAGAGCTGATTAAAATTGTTGTTGTAAAAAATGCCAGAAAGACATAATTTTGATGTTTAAAAATTCATTTTTTATCTAAAGCTTTTAATTAGGGCAAACCTCTATATTTTTATATTTCATTTTAAAATTAGTTAAATTTTATTCATAAAAAATGTTTTATATAAAATATACGAAATTGTAAAAAATTTTAGACGAGTTCAAGGGCCTCCAAAAAAGTATTTTTATTAGTTTCACGAAAAGAACCTTGAGAAAAAATCTGACTCAAGTCTCACAAAACTCCCTCTGGCGTTGAAAAAAAAATTTAACTCTATTCAACAAAATTTATTTTAAAGTTTATTTTTAAAGTTATGTGCATGTCAGTATTTCTTATACGATAGAGAAACTTCATATTCACTACTAAGTACTATGTATTAAAATCAGTGGTGGTGAGAATGCTACATTAAATATAATATCACTAGTCACAGGTATAAAAAATTGTCAAATTAAATATAATATAATAAAATACAATACATATATTATTATTATAATGGTCGCAGTAGAAAATAGAAATGAAAATAAAAGCGATTATACTATTATTGCAACCGATAACGACGAGCTGTACACGCAGTTAGTTCTAAAATTACATTACCCAATTTAGTAATATACTAAAGGCGCGCTCCCATTACTCGTCTATTTGCCGAATATAAGTCAAATACCGAATATTTTACAACTCTGTACAAGCACATATATATTACCGTTCCGACTACTCGTCTAATTGTAAAATTATTTTATATATTCCATGTTGAGTTAAGTGATGACAATTAGTGGTGATTATTGAAGTGTATATTGTGGTTGAGTTTTTGAACTTTTACTTTAAACTAATATTTTAACTTTAATATTTTTTTTAATTATTATTTAATTTATTTATTAAAAAAAAAATAAATGGATAAACGAGAAAAAAATATCTGCACTTGAAGCATATTTATTTTTTAATAAATTGTACCTAGAATTACATGAAATTAAAAAAAAAAACAAGAAATAATTACCCAAAAATAGGAACATATACTCACTCAAAAATAAATATAAACCTCAAATTAAAAATTTAAATGTCTATTACAATACAATAAACATATTTACAAATACTGTTCGTTACATCTTACACCGTGTTATTTATAAATCAAAATATTCAAATACTTCATTAAATGTATGTTTATTAAATATATTATACCAAAAATATACACTAAATTTTAATATTATATAAATATTGGCAAAATTAGAATTTTTTTCCAAGAGGGGTAATGTTTTCATAATATCGCTCAACATAAAAGCGGTGAGCAAAAAAAAAATACTCTGGATATACTACTGTATATAACTATAGTTTATATTTTATCAGAAATGATGGCTTTGATAAGTTACTAAATATCTGGATGAGCCTATTGGAAAATTTGAAAAATTTTGTCGTATGTCGTCTACTGATTTTGAATTTTAGCTTCGATGCAAAGCTGAAAAGGTTAATTTTACTATGATGTTTTTTTTTGTCTGTTACCACTTTTTCTTAGCTCTCAACAAACCGATTTCTTTCAACGATACGTTAAAAGATCTTAAATCGTATCTAGTCGAAAGCATTACCCTCAACAATTGAAAAAATTTCCCTGGTTCCTCGTACATGTGGAAATCTCCAAAAAAATTACAAATATAAAAATCGCTAATTTTTTAAATTTTTTCTACTTAAAACTGCTATAACTTTTTCAATAATGATTATATCAGAATTTTTTTATTTATAGAATTCGATAACATTATTATACATTTTTCAAAATTACAGATAACACAATCTCTAGTATAATTAGAAATGCATAAAGTGAAATAGTTACGGTACTTGAATAAATATAAATCTATAACGAGTAGTCAATAAAACTCAAAATGATTTTTTTCTTTTTCATAATTTTAATTAAATTTATATTTATGTATAATTTTTTCATAACATAAACCTATATTCTTATATTATTTATTACATTTAATAAAAAGTGCATGGTTTAATTAAAAAAAAAAAATATTTGAAAAGTATGTAAAGACAATCGTTAGTTATTCATATTTTCAAGAATATCGTATATTGTAGCTTATGCATTAATTATAAAAAAAGATATAAGTTTTTAGGATTAGTGAAGAATTTATACATAAATATCAGCCAAAGTGCATAAAAAAAAATTAAAAACAATTTTAAGCTTACTTGAGACCTACAAAAAATATACCATATAATGACATTAATTATGATATGCACACTATAAATTTTTGACTTATAATTTTGAAACTAAAAAATTTGTATTTTACAGTAAAAATCAAACTATGTTGATATACTAATCATAATATTTGACCAAAAATTAAATATCAGAGATTCAACTATGCCACGTCACCACTGTGCTACGACCCCCTTGTGCTGGGTTTTTTGTTAAGTAAAGTTTGATCTTATATATCAAGATAAGATACAGTGTTGAGAAAAATTTTAACTTCAAAATAAAATGTTAATGAGCTTAAAAAAACCTAAATGAACACGTAGATTACTTGTAGAGTATTCACCATCAGATCATTTGGCACTACAGCTAAATTATTTTTACAATATAGCGAATACTCGTTTATCTTTATTGATTATTTGGTCTTTCAATAATGGTGAGTAATAACATTGTTACGACTTATACATTATCGTGTTAGTTTAATTCTACTGGATAAAAATTGATCAAATAAAATAAAATGTGGATATCAAATATTGTTTTTAGATTATAAATAATGATGCTTAAATTATCAAATCATAAAAAATTGTTACTTTTATTCACAGTATATTATTAAATCATTAATTGAAATAAATGCAGAGTATTGTGTTAATCAATTTAAAAATACAAAACGATTTTAATATTTGTAATTTAAAAAATTAATATAATTTAAAACAACCACTTTTTGACCGGAGCTTCGGATGATATTCTAATTTTTGTACATTGATGATAAGAGAGAGAAGTGCAGCTGAAAAATGACTAATCATAAAAATAGCAGTATATGCGCGTCACTAGTACTATATTTAAAATGCTAATAACTTCCAATGTGTTGGTCCAAAAGTTATTATCGACAGTCATTTTCTTATTAGATAATTTTCTATATTATAAACTAGTTTAATATGTATGTTACCGTTTAACTTTATATAGACTATAAGAAATACCTAAAAATAATTTTATAATAGGTATATAGAACAACATATGTAACTAACAAAATCCAAAAAAAAATATCTTTAAAAAAATTATTACTCGTAAGAGTTCCCACTTCTTAACAAATATGAACAAATAACGAATATTCTGCAAATAGACGAGTAGTGGGGACCCGACTCAATATTTCACTGTATAGATGACGCTGTCAGTAGTCAAAACACTGCTTGTGTGTACATGCGCATCCGAATATGCTGAGGGAAACAACTTTTTTAATGTTGGTATACAACAAGTATATATCAGCTATTTTACTATTTTAAATTTGCATTAAAAAAAATTTTTTTAAAAACATACAATTAAGAATAATTGTATATTCTTCTTTAAATGTATTTTAGTAAGGGTCCCATCGTCAAAACCACGAGCCGCCACTGACTAAAATACTTGTAATTGAATTATTATATATATACTAAAATCATAAATATACAAAAAATTTATTCTCTTTCTTATTAGTAATGAACAATTACAAATATGCTTTAAATGTAGTTTAAAAAGTATTTATAATGTTTTAGGCAAAGTGATAATTGAATCAAAAAATATAAATGTAAAATTAAATATTAAAACATTAATTTTGAAAATAAATAACGGGACATATTATTTCGACGGTCTAAAAGCTCGTAAATTATTACTAAAATAAATATAGTTTAAAAAAACTAAAAAACACGCTTTTAAAGTACATCGAACTAAAAAGTTAAAAATAATTTTTAAAATTAACTTAAAACAATAATGAACGAAAAATACTAGTATTATTGTGAAAAAAAGCGTCAGGCGCTCAATATACAAAAAATATGGCATAAAGCACCCACGCTTTTTTTCACAATAATACTAGTATTTTTCGTTCATTATTGTTTTAAGTTAATTTTAAAAATTATTTTTAACTTTTTAGTTCGATGTACTTTAAAAGCGTGTTTTTTAGTTTTTTTAAACTATNTTACTTTAAAAGCGTGTTTTTAATTTTTTTTAAACTATATTTATTTTTCACTTTTTAGTTTCATGTTATGATAGTAGTTAATATCAATATCATGGTTGTAACGGGTAACGGGAAATAAGGGTTCGATTCCGGAGAGGGAGTCTAAGAAACGGCTACCACATCCAAAGAAAGCAGCAGGCGCGTAACGTGGAGGTAGTGACGAAAAATAACAATACGAGAATTATCCTCCGTAATCGGAATGAATACACTACATATCTCTTAATGAGAATAAAGTGTATGAGCGGGGTGGGGCGAATGCATTACAACAGTATAGTCTCAAGGTCATACACGACGGGATACGCGACATAATAACACGTGCCGCGTGGAGTTACAAACTTACAAACGACAAACAAACAACAAACAACAAACAACAAACAACAAACATACACGTGAAACTAATATAAGCGTGTTAAAATAAGTGTTATGTTAACTTTATCAACTGCTATAACCATTGTCAGTTATTTCTGACACACTAATAACATATTTTTATAGCATAATTACCTGAATAATCGACCAGATACTTAAGATGAGAATATTATTAATTTATGTACTTAGTTTAACAATTAAAATAAATTCGTTAAATTTTTTAATGCTTTATATACTCTTGTTTTTTAAAGAACATAAATTTTTAGAAAATCTAAATGTCATATATCGAACTTGAACAAATAAAATTGAATAATAGACTTTAACAATTTTTAATTATTTTAAAACTATAAAAAAAATTATAATTTATCTTTTATACATCTTTTTTTACCATTATTTATTGTATCATTAGTATATACAAAGTGTTCGATTCATAATAAACCACTTGATTACTCACAAAATAAATAGAATATTAAAATAATAATTTTTATAAATTATACAATACCATATCTTATAGGGGTGTCAACTTTATATTTTTTAATTGTAACATACATATTTAACTAGCTTATAATTAGGGAATAATCTAGAAAATGAACGATTGATAACATTTTTTGGACCAGTACTTTGGATGTTATTCTTAATTTTATACTTAGGTGGTATAAAGAGTACAGCCGGGAATAAAAATTAAAATTTAATAATAAAAATAGCAGTACCCTAACTTCAACAATAGATATTGTTTAAATTTTAACACCGGTTGAAACAATTTTAACTTTGTAATTGTTAGAAACAATTACAAAGTTACTAATGATGTATCCGGAATACTAAAAAGCTCATATTTTTTGTTAATTGTATAAAACTTATAGTTTATAGTTAAGAAATTATTTTATAGTAATTAATAATCATAAAAATTTATTAAATATTTGACTTCTTCATCGATACATATATAGGTGTCTAGTATACAAATGATTTTAATATAAGAAAAGATGCTATCAATAAGAGCGATGACAATAATCTGTTCAATTACAGATCATATTTTTTCTCTTTACAAAATAAGAATTAAATACATCAAATATTATGGTGCACAATAAGTTATACATAGTAATCATTTCAATAATATAAAATTAATGTTTTATATAACAATACAAAAAAATCTGTAAACAACTCCTCTATGATTAGTCATCATTTTAAGTAAATATAATGTGATTTTTGTAAAATAATATTTACCAAAAAAATTTATCAAATTATAATTAATTTCTCTCGTATAATACACATTGAATTGTCTTATGACAGTGATTTTAATCAATCAGATATCAATGAATACAATTCAATGTTGAATTATTAATTTAAACTCTAAAAATGCACGTGTAAAAATTGTATAAAGTATCTCCTCAGCTATTGGCTAGGATTTTTTTTTTTTGATATTTTAACATTATGACAGGTATTAATTTACATAAATTTAAACATTACAATTTCAATCTGTACATTATTTAAAAAAACAACTATATAAGTTAAATATATATTTTCAAACATACGCTATATCTTGCGACAACAAAGCCAATCAAACAAGTCCCCGAGGAAATATTCTTGCACCATCGCTTTATAACCTATGTTGGATACACATCGATTGAATATGCTGTCAAGAAAATGTGTGTTTGATTATTCATGTTATCGTTGTGTTACATCGAGTTGTTGTCGGTTTTCTCTCTATGTTACCATTGTCCAAAATTTTCCAATTGAAGTTTCAGAAATATCTTTATTAATTTTAGAATATTCATGCAATTTACTTAAAAATCTGATGGCATTCAAAGGAGCCATTTTACTGTTGGAGGCAGTAAACCAGTTCACTGCGTAACATTTTATAATAAAGCAATTAAGTTCTGTGAGAGAATTTTCCTCAAGTTTAGTTAACTTAAACTGATTTCTAAATAAGAAAATTTTTAGGGCGTATATACCCTTTAGCCATCCAACGTAAATGTTATGCTCCTGGTTTTTTATATTTTATTCCTTCTGGAGAGACACCCTCCAAAAAAATACTAATTAAAATAAGAAATTATTTATAATCATCTCGCGGAAACGATAAATTAAGTCTATCAAAGCAAAACTGTAAAATTTCATCAATATCATTATTTAAAATTTGTTGAACTCTAGCATGAGAAATTCTAGTAGAAAAATAAGTTTTTATAATGGTATCCCCCTGATTTTTTAATTTTTTAAATAGCGGAATATCAGTTTCTGACATGACGCTTACTTTACAAATCGTAAAAACTGTTGATAATATTATTTCGTATATATGATGACGACAGCCGAAAAATAATATATTTCGTTCAATTTTCCATTCAATAAAGAACAAGCAACATTAAATTTCCCAGTGTCAGATGCTGTTATATCAAAAACAAACACTTGGATATTATTTATCAATCCCCAGCTATATAATAACTTCATAAATAGCGAAATATATTTCTAAACCAGTTCCAGCTGGTATTTTTGGTACTCCTAAAAGTTTATCAACTGCATGAGACGTTGCAATTACTGGTATTCTATCGACTTTTTGTCCAATAATGTTACTTAATCATTTTATGTCCCAATGTTTTGTTACAACATCTTTTTCTATACTTAAATCATTTTTTCTTAACTTTTCATAGTAAGTTCTTCGATAATCATCTCTTGCTTTACGGATAGATGTACGATTAATTATGTAATCAGCTGAATCTAATGAAACTGCACCCAAAAATGCTATAAGTAAATGGATCGTATCTCTCTCACTTATATTACACTTATCAAATGCTGCAGTTAATTGTGGTGTTAAAATTTCATTACGAGCTCGTTTAGGTTTTACAACCGTATCAACTTCAAAATTAGCTGGTACAACGGTGAAAATGGCTACCAAATGCTATTATTGTGTGAAAATTTTCAATTTTATTTTTTACATTTTTAACTTTATAATGCTATAACTTATTGAAAAGTGTATGGATCAACACAATTTTTTTATGAGAAATAATAGTTTTTTATAATCCCTTTTTCATTCGACATACTTTTTCTTAATCAGGATATTAATAAGGAACTAGCAGATCATGTAACTTTTGGAATGATTCACCAATTTTTTAAAATTAAACACTATCTAAAGATTTGCATCGAAGCGTTTTTTTTTTTTGATAGTGATATTAATCACTGTCAGATATCATTATACTTGATCCAACTATGCCACGTCACCATTGTGCCGCGACCCCCTGGCTGGGTTTTTTTCTATCAATTTTATTTTAATTCATATTTTTAAATTTCAATAATTCTTATCCTCAATTTTATTTCAATTCTTTTATTTGAACATTTTATTTTTAAATTCAAATAATTTTTTTATTCTCAATTGTATTTTAATTTTTAATAAAATAATCATAAATTGGTATAGAGCAAACAATGATGACATATCTTTGAATATTCATTCATCAAGAATAAACAATCATAAATTATATATGCTTACACATATAATTCATCTTTTAACATTACCAATTTCGTAGAACTAAAAATACTGACACGGTACTGAGTTTCCCTCAGCCACACATCACGTTATCAACTTATGGGAATGAGTAACGAATGTGAATAATTAGTGCCCTGTGGCCTAGTGGTAAAGTTTGTCTCTACGACTTCTTGGACCGCGGGTGATAATCCCGTAACATGTCACTGTTTTTCACACGACTACCGATTAATTTTTTTATGACAGGCGTGTAAATACTTTCAAAATATATTTATTAACACATTGTCATATAGATATATATACATATATTAGGGCTCCACTTATTCATACATGATGATTTTTGTTTTATAATTCTTATGAGCGCCGGTCAAAATTTCATTAGAAATACCTTAAATATAAATCATGTAAAGCTTCAGCCCACTTGAAAAACTTAAACACGTGCCGATTTGAGCTTAAATTTTTTTATAAATTCGTAAATCCGTTGTTTTGACATATAGTCGTTACAATTATCATTTTACAAAAAATTTTATAGAACAATAAATGTAGTACAAAACACGTTTAAAAAAAATAGTCACTAGATATTTTTTTGTAAAATGATAATTGTAACGACTATATGTCAAAACAACGGATTTACGAATTTATAAAAAAATTTAAGCTCAAATCGGCACGTGTTTAAGTTTTTCAAGTGGGCTGAAGCTTTACATGATTTATATTTAAGGTATTTCTAATGAAATTTTGACCGGCGCTCATAAGAATTATAAAACAAAAATCATCATGTATGAATAAGTGGAGCCCTAATATATGTATATATATCTATATGACAATGTGTTAATAAATATATTTTGAAAGTATTTACACGCCTGTCATAAAAAAATTAATCGGTAGTCGTGTGAAAAACAGTGACATGTTACGGGATTATCACCCGCGGTCCAAGAAGTCGTAGAGACAAACTTTACCACTAGGCCACAGGGCACTAATTATTCACATTCGTTACTCATTCCCATAAGTTGATAACGTGATGTGTGGCTGAGGGAAACTCAGTACCGTGTCAGTATTTTTAGTTCTACGAAATTGGTAATGTTAAAAGATGAATTATATGTGTAAGCATATATAATTTATGATTGTTTATTCTTGATGAATGAATATTCAAAGATATGTCATCATTGTTTGCTCTATACCAATTTATGATTATTTTATTAAAAATTAAAATACAATTGAGAATAAAAAAATTATTTGAATTTAAAAATAAAATGTTCAAATAAAAGAATTGAAATAAAATTGAGGATAAGAATTATTGAAATTTAAAAATATGAATTAAAATAAAATTGATAGAAAAAAACCCAGCCAGGGGGTCGCGGCACAATGGTGACGTGGCATAGTTGGATCAAGTATAATGATATCTGACAGTGATTAATATCACTATCAAAAAAAAAAAACGCTTCGATGCAAATCTTTAGATAGTGTTTAATTTTAAAAAATTGGTGAATCATTCCAAAAGTTACATGATCTGCTAGTTCCTTATTAATATCCTGATTAAGAAAAAGTATGTCGAATGAAAAAGGGATTATAAAAAACTATTATTTCTCATAAAAAAATTGTGTTGATCCATACACTTTTCAATAAGTTATAGCATTATAAAGTTAAAAATGTAAAAAATAAAATTGAAAATTTTCACACAATAATAGCATTTGGTAGCCATTTTCACCGTTGTACCAGCTAATTTTGAAGTTGATACGGTTGTAAAACCTAAACGAG